CTGAGGACCTTGAAATACCAGGGTTTCTATCCTGTAACCTTTTTGTATATGAAAATGTTACAGAACTAGGCCCTAAAGTAGACAGATAATACCATTTGGACAATATACCAAATGAGCCATGAGGGGTGAAATCTAAGGACAATTCAGATGTAATTTTATGTTAATGTAATTTACCACTTACATCTCACATAGAGTAACACTGACAGGCTTCAACAAGCAGCACGTTTATAAGGAAAGATTTAAAGGAAGAGAAGGATTCAATTTTTTGAATTTTAATTAAATGGCATTTACTTTTTTCAAATGTCCAAAATACACTTCTTGACTCAGAACTAGGAATATTAAGAAATCTGATCAACCAAAATTAAAAAAATAAATAAAACAGATTAACAGTGAAATGTGCCTAGGTAGATCAAACAATGTCTAAACGGAGTGAGAAAGGTTTGCCTGCACTAGGGTTATTGCAGTATCAAGGCCCATTCTGGCTTGGAACTGTCTTTGCCCATCCTTCTCTGGAATGGGCAGAAAACCTTCATAATAGTCACAATTGTTTATTAACTATTTATTTCTGTACTTGGAAGTTTTTAACTAAAAACATTTACACAAGGCAACAAACCTCAAACAGGTAAACAAAACATCCCCCCCATACACATCTATGCTAAAGAAAAGGCTTGAGTCTTGCCTCCAAGGATTCCATATATGTTCAGCCATATACACAAAGGGAGATAGTAGTCAGGAATTATAAACCAGGAGTGGAAGGGGCCCTCTCTCACCCTCTTGAGAATGGAAAACAGGACAATGAGCACTTCCAATCTCACCAACCTTTCAACAGGTGAAAGGGAAGACAGACCCACAGATTGCTATTACCAGGCATCTTTGCCCTGCTTTCAGTCCCTTGCTGGTACATTTCCTTGCATACTCCTCCTCTCCCTTAGATGGCTCTGGCTTACAGTAGCAAGTTTTCAACGTTGCCAGTCATCTTAAACAACAACTTCCACAGAAAACTACTAGCTCCCAGACATCAACCTGGCTTTGTGTCTACTAACATTAGGTAGTAACTAACTGATAACAAGGTGTGTCTTTTTTTTAAAACTCGGCAACAGATAATCATAAGATCTTATATGAACAAGTGAATATGGTGAGTTTTAATTGTTTAGATATTTCTTATTTGTGTATTTGCATTCCTCTTAGTACAGAGTTTTGGTATATACTTGCAGAGGGCTTTCTAGCTATAGGCAAGCTAGGCAGCTGCTTGGAGTGGCAGATTTCTGGGCAGCAGTCTAGGCTGGCATATTAGCCCATGCCTTGCCCTAGTCACGATAAAATGGTGGTTGGGCCAAACCTGAGCTGCGCTGTGACCCCTGCATACCCAAGGCCATTTGCTCAAATGTGGCCCAGCCAACCACCCCTCTGTCATGATGGGAGGAGAGGCCAGGCCAAGTCCGAACTGGAGTGACATCCGGGGAGGGAGAGTGATGCCTAGGACTGGAGATTGCCTTGTGCCACCTTTACATACTTGCTATGTAACATGGTGAAAGAGGTTAATAAGCTGAAATAGAGCGGGTACTGCTATTTCTTGAAGAGTGAATAGATGAAGTATTGAAACATCAAAGATCAGTGTTTCCCAGCCACAGATAAAAACCAAACAGCCCAAACTTGCTTATTAACACACAAAAAGAGGCAAAAAACCCCAAACAGATCTCCACGGGCCTGACTTAGAGAGCACCTGAGAGCAGGCCCCGCACAGCAGGCTCAGGGAAATGGGGCGTTGCGATGTGCTTAGCAAGTAATAACTAGAGAGCGAAGGAACAACCATCTAGCCCCGCCGGGGAGCAGAACCCGCGGGAAGGGCTATGGGAGCACAGCAGCAATGGCGAGGGGCGGCTCCTGGGCGGGTCCGAGCGAGGCAGGTAGGGCCGGTGGCGCTGGGCGGGAAGCACGAGGCGGGGGAGGGGCAGGTCTCTCGTGCCCGAGGTGGCCTAGGCCGCGCGGGCTTCTCGGTGCGTCACGCCGGGGCTCGCGAGTCGCTCCGTTTGCGCAACTTCGCAACACACGGATCAGGTACCGCCCCTCCCCCACAACTACCCCCGTCCGTGACCTCCGGTTCCCTCCCAAATCCCTCCCCCCCCTCAATCCATCCCCTCCCCACCGCCCCTTTCCCGGCTCCCTCAGGTTCGCGGGGAGAAGATATTCACCCGTGGGGGCCGCTGGGTCCAGCCAGACCCTGGGAGCGCAGCGCACGGTGCCTCTCTCCTCCGCCGCAATATGGCGGCGCCAGTCCCGAGAGGAAGGAGGCAACCACAGAACCCTGCTATTGGCGCGCCGCCGCCGGACTACACCTCCCAATACGCAACGCGCCGTCTTGCCCCGCCCCAACAGCCGCCTGGCCGTGCCGCTGCGGAACGGCCGGCGCACTGCACGCTGGGAATTGTAGGACCGATGCGAATCGGAGCTGCGCGCTGGAGCCTGGGAGCTGCCTCTGCTGGTCGTGTTTCTTCTGTGGCGGCTGATGTGGAAGTGACGCATAAACAAGGCGGAGCAAGCGAGCCGTGTTTGTTCCTAGCCCAGGTTAAGCACGCTTGGCTGTGCTAGACCAGACGTACCCTCTGAGACAAGGGTGCAAGCTGCTCCCTCTGCTTTGAGTGTCCTGGGAGTGGGCAGCATCTAGAGCAAAGCGTTCCTGACATAAGGGGGGTGGAGAGATAAGGTGGGTGAGGTAATATCTTTTATAGGCCCAACTTGCATGGGTGAGAGAAGCTTTTGAGCTACAGAGCTCTTCAGGTCTGGGAAAGGTACTTGGGGTAGGTCTATACTTACAGTTTTGCAGCGCTGGTGCTTCAGTGAGGATGCTACTATGCTGACAGGAGACCTCCTCCCATAGGTGTAGTTAACCCACCTCCATGGGCGGCAGTAGCTATGTCCATAGGTGAAGCTCTCCCATGGACATAGAGCTGTCTACACCAAGTTAGTATAACTGCGTTGCTCAGGGGTGTGGATTTTTCACACCCGAGGGACATATTTATACTGATTTAAGTTTATAGGGTAGACCTGGCTTCATAGTGTCTCAGCTGAATGCAAGATGGACAGATTGTTTACCGTAAATGATTAACATGTATTTCAAGGGACCACTCAAACTGAAGTGGCCTGTTACCACCCATCCTGTCATGCGGGGAGGAAGGGGCAGCCGGAGGAGTTGTTAGTGGGTTATAGTTTGTTGTAATAAACTATAAATCATTCGGTCTCTATTCAGTCCATGATTTTTAGTGTCTTCAGTGATTTTTAGCAAAGTTATGAATTTAAGCTCCCAAGCTTGCCTTTTGAAAGTGGTGTGCAGGTTTCCTTTGAGGATGAGGACTGATAGGTCAGCTATATGATGATTGCTCTGTGAAAAGTGTTCACCCACGGTGAGGTGGTGTTTTTGTCTTTTATCATTTTCCTGTGTTAGTTCATTTGAGAGCATAGTGATTGTCTAGTTTCACCCATGTAGTTGTTATTGGGTTATTTAGTGCACTGGGTGAGGTACGCCACCTGTTGTGATAGGCATATGTAGGACTTTGAAAGGTGTGTTATGGGGGGTGTTGCTCATTGAAGCAGTGGAGATATGTCTATTTGCATCTGTTGTTCTGGCAGGGTCTGGTGCTGCTTTGAATTGATGTGTCCTGGTTTGTAGGCAGCTTGCTTCTGACAATGAGCTTGGCAAAGTTGGGGGGTTGTTTGAAGGATAGAAGAGGGTGGTCAGGAAAGATTTCTTTCAGGATGGGGTCCCCATTGAGTATGGGTTGTAGTTGTTTGGTGATATGGGTTCCAGAGTGGGATGGTAGATGACAACTAGGGGTGTGCATTTGGAAGGTGTTTTATTTCTGTATTGAAGAAGGTACTCTTGGGGTATTTGGGTTGTTACCAGATTTGCCTGTTACTTTGGGGTATGCTCATATATTCAGGTTACTCTTCTGGGGGTGGGAGTGGGTGTTTCTGTAATTCTATCAATGTACTGCTTGTGTCATGTGTGTTTTCATATGGAGCTCTACTTCTCCCTTATGCAAGTCCCCTCCCAATGGAGCCATCCTGCAGGACCTAGGTTCCCTAGGGCTGGGTTCCTCCAGCCCCAGAACTGGATGAAAACACACACCTCACACCTCCCACCCCCCCCCCAACGTCTGAGTGGACCGGGTCAGTCAGCACTTTCAAGCTGACTCCTTATATGTCCCTGGACTCAATGTGCCGGGTCAAGCAGCACTTTCAAGCTGACCCCCCTTATGTATCCCAGATTCAGCACATCCCTATCCCCACTCTCACATCACAATTGTACTGGTAGTAACCTACTTGATGAGTAAACCCCACAGTATTTTGAGCGCTGCAGGGATCTTTAGCTTAGGTAAAAGAAGCATTGCTGCAGAGTAAATGGGGGAAGCTAAAAACACAAAAAAGTTCAGCAAGAGAGAGAGAAGCAACCAGCTTACCCATAAAAGTTATTTATTGAATAATAGTGATAACTACACAAGGAGGGCTAAACCAACATAACATACATTATTAAAGGTTAATACCTAAGGTAGAAAGGAAACAGAGAGAGAAAGAAAGGGAATCTCACCCACTCCATGAAGCTTGAACTGGTCGGGGTTCCCAGGTGATGATGGTAACTCAGGGTCCTGAGTGCTGGAGACAGGCAGAGCCCCCAGCACAATCAGTCAGGAGAAGATGGAGTCCCAGTGGAACTGATGCATAGTTTGGATCTAAGCATCAGAACCCTTACTTGAACATAGGTAGGGGGGTTTGTAGAGAAACAACAATGGTTCAAGGGAGAACACTAGATTTGTTTATGGGTAAACTGATGACTCAAGGGTTTTCTTTAGGCTAGACAATAGGAGCTGATCACTCTTGGCTATGGGTGGTGTTTTCTTCCAGGGAGCTCACAGTGCAGTTAGGCTGCTTCAGTATTTTGGATATCAATCAAGGATTCATTACTAGAATTGGTCTGATAATTGCTGAGCTGGGTGTGGGCAGGTGTAGGTTCATGAACATCTGGAGCAGAGATTCCCATGATGCAATGCTTCCCTGCTTTTCTGGTACCAGAGTTCAGTCTGGTTCTCTGTTCTTCATTCTGTATGCTAATCCCCGTCCCATCTTTCATGTAGATGAGGCTAGGGGAGTTGTTTCTGCTCTCCATTCTGTATGCAAATGGAGATGTCTTAATCTTGTCACCCTTGTCAGAAGGGGTCTCTAGGTGTGTGTCCCAACGCCCTTCATTGCTCTCTACAAGCCTTTTCTCTGATTGGTCTTGGTTCAAGCAGAGACCGGGGTGTGTGTGTGTCCCTCATGAGTCAGACAGGCCAGACACTGCGCCCTGGTTCCCCAAAACCACAGAGCTGACTGGTATCAGGGTGGCCTGCTCCATGATGCCATCTACTTCTCTGACGGAGTGTCCTTTTTTGAAGAAGGCAGTTCTGAGTGTATTAAGGTGTATATCCTGGACTTTCTCCTTGGAGCATATTCTGTTGTATCTAGTTACTGACTGTAGGGAATAGATTTCCTCGGTGTGTTTGGGGTGGTGACTGGATCTATGAATGCAGGTGTGGTGATCTGTGGGTTTATTTTATATAGTTGTCTATAGGGGTTCTATTGGTGAAGCTGATCATGATGTCCAGGAAGTTTATTGTTGATCTGGGAGTGTGTCAGAGAGAGTTTAATGGACAGGTGGTGGTTGTTGAAGTAGTGGTGGAAAGCTATAAGGACTTTTAAGTCATCTGTCCAGAAGATAAAAATATCAATGATGTATCTCAGGTATATCTTGGGTTTTGTGATACATTTGTCCACTAGTGTAGTCAAGTGCTTAAAATACTAGACAGGGAGTCAGGACTCCTGGGTTCTATTTCCAGCTTTAGTACCATAATTGCCACATACCTATGGCAGAAGGAGGTCCTGTTCCCAGTGTTGGTGTATGCAGAGTACAGACATGGCCTAGGAGTATGCATAGAACTGTGATAATGTGAGTTTTTCAATGGTAGAGCTCACATGGAAGGTGTAATTCCAAACTGGACCTTTGGGGAGCTATTCATTGTGTCTCCTTCCTGGCAGATCAGCACTACTCTGCTGGAAAGGGGATGGGGCAGGAAAGAAGACACAGGGAGAGCCGGAGAGGCAGAATCTGGTGAGGGTATAGGGAGATGACTGGGTATCTCACTGTGACTAGAGGACTTTTCTCCTTGATTGCCTAAACTATTAGACAGCTGGAGAAACTCATTTCAAAGAGCATTCAGGACAAATCAAGGCTGAGAAGAGTTCTGTACAGAAAAGAGAGCCCTGCCCAGGGAGCTTAAGAAGGCATCAGAAGTCACTGTAAGGGGATAGTTATGATTTACTGAAATTATGTTCTTTTCAGAATAGAGTGCTGCTGTACCTATATATTCCTACCAATTTTCCCTCTGTTCATAGTATACCCCTAATCTAATAATAATAATACTTTGAAATCTGCAGGAGTTAAGTATTATTTTATAAAGGACAGCAAGTATTTTTCTCTTTATCCCCATTTTACAGATGGGGAAACTAAGGCATAGTGATTTGCTCAAGGTCATTCAGCAGGTCATCACTGGTGGGAGTCTTAGTGTAGACAAAGTGCTCATAATATGTGCTTAGCAGGATTAAACAATACAGCGGCTAGGCCTGGTCTACACACTCTAGAGTTAGGTTGATGCAAAGCTGCTTTTTTTTCCCATCAACCTGTGTAAGCACTACTATGTTGCTTCCACTGATGTAACTCGCCCACTACTGCAACGTAATAACTCCATCGCCACGAGAGGCATAGTGCTTAGTTTGACGTAGTTAAGTCGATGCAATGTCAGTGTAGACACTGCCTTATTCATGTCTACTTTAGTGGCCTCCAGGAGATGTCCCACAGTGCCCCATCATAACTGCTCTGGTCACCATTTTGAACTCTGCTGCCCGGCAACCATGTACATAAGAACACGACCCTCCCTTTTAAAGCTCCACAAATTTTAAATTCCATTTTCTGTTTGCTCGTCTCAGAATGTTCACATACCAACTACCCAGCTGACCATGCGGGCTCCACGCTGCAAACGCTCTCCTGCCTGGAGTACACAGAGGAGGTGGTGGATCTCCTGGGTCTGTGGTGACAAGAGGCTGTGCAGGCACAGCTCCAATCTAGCTATAGAAATGTCAACACTGATGAGCAGATCACTCAGGGGAGCAGGAGAAGGGCTACAAGAGGGACATGCAGCAGAGCCACATGAAAATCAAGGAGCTGCAGTAGGCGTACCAGAAGGCAAGGAAGGCAAACAGTCACGCTGGTGCAGAGCCGCAGACATGCAGCTTCTCTAAGGAGCTCTATGTCATCCTCAGCAGCGACACCCCCCCATCACCACAAGGGCCCTGTGTATACTTCAGGGGTGCTGGAGGCACAGGCCACCAAAGTGAACCCTGAGGATGAGGTGTTGGAAGAGGAGGAGGTGAGCTTGATGCAGGGGTAGGAACCTCTGGTAAGTATGCAGTTTGCTTTGATATTGCCGGGACACATCTGTTAATTTACTCATTTTTAATCATGCTGTAAGAGATAGTGAAATAACCAATAGAGGTAGATTTGCTATCTGCTTACCAACAGTTAGGCAGAGGGGCCCTTGAAAAACAAATTGTTTATGTGCACTGGGATGGCCCTTGAATCCTCCATAGAGATCTCAAGGAAGCTTTCCTGGAGGTAGTCTGCAATCCTCTGACAAAAGGCTGCCTTATTTCTTCCGCCACGGTAGGACACTTTCCCACACCAGGCATCATTGCAGCACACAGGCTAGCAGCATACGGATCCAGTCCGCAGCCAGATGCGTGCAGGAGCTGTTCCCTTTCAGTTTCTGTTATCTTCAGGAGTGAGATATCAGCTAAAGACACCATTGTCTGTGGAAAATGCTGCCAATATTCAGTTCAATGGCTCTATCCGCATATACTTATGCCTGTGAGGTCCACCGCAGTGTCCAGCTGTCCCCTCCACGCCCCGGCTATCCACACCATGGCTGGGAATTCCACTATGATCTATGAATCCCAAGCAGAAGTGAGAAAGTAGTGCTTGTTACTTGTGTGGATAAAGTGGGGAGTGAATGCACTCACAATATGGAGATATACCTATCTCATAGAGCTGGAAGGGACCCCGAGAGGTCATAGAGTCCAGCCCCCTGCCTTCACTAGCAGGACCAAGTACTGATTTTCCCCAGATCCCTAAGTGGCCCCCTCAAGGATTGAACTCACAACCCTGGGTTTAGCAGGCCAATGCTCAAACCACTGAGCTATCCCTGTTTATCTATTGTTTCTTTTGCAGCTGCAAATGCGGTCTTGAGGGTCTCTCCATCCACACCCATGGAGTGGCTTAGCCAGGTAAGGAGGAGTCTGAAGAGGACAAGGGAAGACACGTTCCAGGAGATCCTGCAAGCCTCTGGTGCTTCGGATACCAAACAGAGGGCTTAGAGGATTACACTTGAGGACAGAATGGACAGGGATAGTGAGGACAGGAAAAACAGACAGCAAGAGATGATAGTACTTCTCAGGGAGCAAACAGACATGCTGTGGTCTCTGACTGACCTTCAAGCTCAATAGGTTCATGCTCGCCTCCCCCTGCAGCCAATAGAGAACTGCATTTTGGCACCTCTCTACACGCCCTCCCACCCAATCCGCATGGCGTCTGGGGCCTGTGCAATACCCCTACCACTCCACTTGGGGGAGAGTGTTTGTGAAATTGAAGTGACTGTTCTTTCCCCTTCAAAGGTTCTTGTCCCTGTATTTATAAAGTTTTGTTCTGCTTTAACTATGTCTATTTGCATGGGTTCAGAATAAAAGTCTATTTATGGAAAATTAATTCATCTTTATTAGTTCACAAGATATGGTGGCTGGGGTTGGCATCATTTCACAGATAATAGCAATAGGTACATTTGCAGTATTATATTACCACACACAGAGCTCTCATTACAAGGTGCATACTGGGGTGCAAAGAAAAAAATGCCAGGTGCAGCACACTAGAGCAACACACATTACTGTGGCTCATTGTTATAATGGTCCTTCAAAGTCTCCCACCCAGGGGTAGGCTGGATCTCCCAAGATCACTACTGGCATTTCAACATCCCTTTTGGTAATCCTCTGGTCTGGAAAAGTCCCTGCGTTTGTCATGTGCCTTCCCTGACCTGTTCATGTTGATGTAGGTGAAATGACCCTGGTAATCCACCAGCACTTGCAATGCCATAGAAAAGTAGCCCTTTCTGTTGATGTACTCCGTGGCAAGGTGGTGTGGTGCCAAAATAGGGATATGCGTGCCATCTGTCACTCCACCGCGGGTAGGGAACCCTATTGCTGCAAAACCATCCACTATTTCTCAGACATTGCCCAGAGTCACAGTCCTTTTTAGCTGGACACAAGTAATGGCCCTGCACACTTGCATCACCGCAACCCCCACAATGGATTTACTAATTCCTTCCTAAAGAAGCTGACCAAATGCCTCACAAAGCTTACTTAGAAATCAAGCAAGTATACAGCCAATATTCTTAACCTCAAGTACAAAATGCTATATGTGTACAAATAGGATGAATAGATATAGTAGACCATAACCTTTACAAAGATATGTTACATGGCACAGGCAGCACAAAACATATTCCAGTTATGTCATATTCCCATAAAGCATTATGGGATACAGCGTCAAACTGTGCAGAAACTGGAGTCCCTCAGATGGACCTGATCCTGACTGGCCATCAAGAAAAGTTTATCTGTCTTATTGGGAGTGGTGAGCACTGTATGTGTAGCGTGTGCAGTCTGTTTTTGGTGATTGTTAATAAATAAAGGTTATGTAGTATATTACTGTGTAAGGCTCTTTCACTAGTAAAAGACCCTGTAAACCCACAAAAGATTAAGTCCTGAGTCCACAGGGAAAGGGTGTTTGCCCAGAGCCCACGGAGGGGTAAATTTAGGTGCTTTTCGCCTTGAGCCCTAGGAACTGGGTGAAGGTGGGTGCCCTTGAGTGTGCGAGTAACAGAAAATTTTGTGCAGGTAACAAAGAACTTGGGGTAAATTTTCTTTTAGTAAATAGAAGAATGCCTTGTTAGTTAAGTTTATGCTCTAGAATCATCATGTTCCTATTACGCCTCTGGTGTTTAGGGCAGTGACGAAGCTCCTCCACTCCTGTCTGGTTCTGGCAAGTCTTTCAATGGTTCCCCAGCTGTGCCCCAGGTTTTTTAGCTCGGCTTCCACAGCTCTTCGCCATGTTGTTTTTGGACAGTCTCGTTTTTGCTTGCCTTCAAGTGTCCATCTTATTGCTACTTTGGTGATGGAATCAGTTTCCATCCGAAGCACATGACCGATCCATCTCCAACACCTCCTGGCAATGATGGTGCTTAGATCCTCTTAGCTGTGCTGTATCAATAGATCTTGGTTTGAGATTGTTCTGGGGCAAAAGATATGGAGGATTTTTCTGAGGCAGGTTGTATGGAATGAAGACAGTTTGGACATGTCATTTTCTCATTCTCAGAATTCTGCACTAGCTCCTGAAGGTGTTCCTGGATTTATTGATTTTGTTCTGGATGTCCTGGCTGATGGTGCTGCCCAAGTATGTGAATGTTTCTACATTGGTGAGAACATAATCCTCTATCCATACTGGTGATGGTGAGGCAATATTAAAGGTCATATCTGTCTTATTGCAGTTGATTTTCAGTCCAATTTTCTGGCTGAATGCGTTGAGTGGAGTTGTTTTTTCTTGTATATGGTGTTGGGTACGTGATAGAGTGATATCATCTGCAAAGTCCAGGTCTTCAAGGAATGAGAAGAGTGTCCATTTAATGCTTCTTGGCATGTCTTCTGTTGTATGCTGCATTATACAGTCGATGGCAGTGTTGAAGAGGATTGCAGACATGACACACCCCTGACGTACTCCTGTTTTGACTTCAAAACTGAGCTCACTGTGATCAACACTGCATGTAAAGTTGAAATAGAAGCTTTTGAAGACGTTGATTATACGGAAAGGAATTCCATATGCCCACAGAATGTGCCATAGGCTGGTCCTGTGAATGCTATCAAAAGCCTTCTCAAAGTCTATGAAATTTATGTAGAGTTGCTGTTGCCATTCTAAGCACTGTTCTAGTGTGTTTCGTAGAGTGAAGATCTGGTCTGTACATCCACGCCCTTTCCGAAAACCAGCTTGCTCTTTTCTGAGAACGCTATCAACTGCCTCTGATGTACGTTGGACTATTATCTTACACAATACTTTGCTTGGCACAGATAAAAGCGTGATGCCACGCCAGTTATTACAATCACAGAGTTCCTTTCTTTGGTATCTTCACTATAACCCCCAGTGGTCCACTCATCTGGCACTTTTTCCCTTTCCCAGACTGATGTAAATAGAGGGGGCCAGGATAGATGCTGCTAATTTAGGATTTACCTTGCACAATTCTGCATTCAAGTTATCCTTGCCAGGAGCTTTCCCATTTTTTAAGGATTTGATGGCTTGAATGATCTTTTCCTTAGTTGGGGTGCCTGTGTTGATATCAAGATCTTCTTCTGCCTCCTGGATGTTTGCTTCCTCTTTAGGTGGCTCCCTGTTCACCAATTCTTTGAAATGCTCTGTCCAGCTCATTTCTTGTTCTATTTTGGTTGTTAGTAGGTAGCCCTGTTTGTTCCTGAAGAGAGTGTTTGTTGGTGTCTGCTGTTTACCCCGTCATTTTGTAGACTGTCCCTTGTTCACCACGAGCAGCTGCATCCTCTGCTTGTGTTGCCAGATTATCAATATAATGCCGTTTGTCCGCTCTCACAAGGCGTTTGACCTCCTGTGTGTCTTGCTGTACTGCTCATGGTATTTGTCCTTTAGCTTCTGGGATTTTGTGTCTGAAACTTTTTTCTTCAGGGCTCGTCTGGTTTCTAAGGCATTCCATGTGCTAGGTGTAATCCACTCCTTCCTTATCTTCTGCCTGTAGCCTAGACAGGCTTTACTGGTCTGTTTATACATTGCTGTTACTTTGTCCCACTTCTTGTTGAACTCCTCATCTGCATTTCCCTCCTCTTCACCAAGGTCTGCAAGTGCTTGAAACCTGTTCTTTAACTGCAGACTGAAGGTTTTCTGTGCTCTAGAAAGCATGTTATAATTGTCTTTTGTATGTAACTGTTTGTTCCCAATATTCTTACTCATCTCTTGAATCTCTGTTCTTTGATAAAAATGATCTGGACAAAGTGGAGAAATGGTCTGAGTTAAACAGGATGAAGTTTAACAAAGACAAATGCAAAGTGCTCCACTTAGGAAGAAAAAAATACAGTTTCACACATACAG